ATGACTTTGTATCAAATATTTAGTTAATAAGGTCCTCAACTATGGGATAGGAGTTGGTCATGCTTTGGCTTTCACCTGCTAGGCTACTGTTGCTGGTCGTAGTGTGTAGTTGGATTGCTACCGAAGGCTTTTGATTGCAATTATGTTTTCTCTATTTTTTCCTAGTTGGCTTCTCACTAACTAGTGTGAATATGATTGAATATGTTTTTCGGTATCAACCCGGTATCAACTCAGTTGGGATTGTTCTGTCTTACTATTATACTTAACATTTTTGTTCTTATTTTATTGATATATTGTGGGTGTTTGGAAAATTGTTATTTTAGTAGACTATTTTAGTTTTTAGCTATTTTAGAATGTTAAAATTTTTGTATTTAGGAAGAAAGTTGAACTTTTTTGTAGTTAAATGTGATGTTTGTGAGAGAAAAAATGAAATGATTATGGATTTGACGTGACATTTTGTCTTATTAGCTATTTTAGTCTATTTTGTCTTTTAGTGTTATTTTAGGCAAAAAAAACCCAAAAGTTCCTTCCCAAACACCCCTTATCTTCTTGTACAGGCCTCGTTTGGGAATAGACTATTTTAGTAACATTTTGTCTATTTGGCTAAAATATGAGATAAAAAAAACAAGTATGTTTGGGATGACTTTTTAGTTTTTTACAAAAAGATATGCAAAACATTGAGAGAAAAATGAATTTTTGACTTTTTAGTATAAGTTATTAACTTTTTGATTTTTTTAGTGACTTTTTTGACTAAAATTATCACTTGCCAAACGAGACTTGATTTTCCATCAATAAATTTTTACTTTTGCTCATATCAAAAAAAATAAAAATAAAATAAAATATTAGATCCACTCACTTACATAGGGAAGTGAGGAAATAAGGTTTAAAAAAAAATTAGATTAGATGAAGCATATGTTTAACATTATTTTAGAGATTGATGAATAAAAAAAGTTTAAAAGTATTCTAAAATTATCAGAAATTATTTTTTTAAATTGTTTAAAAATATGTCGTATTTTTCCTTTTTTTTTTTCCATCTATATATTTGAGCAAATTTCATTTTATCCCATAAATTATTTCTTGAAAATCAATTTGACCCATGTCATTTTAATTATATTAATTTTACATTTAAATTATTTGATATTGAATCAATTCTATCCCATCGTCAATTGCCATTTATAATTAATCTACCGATGTGGTATCAAAACTTCATTTGAAACATTATTTTGCTCTTGAAAATATTCTCAAATATCAATTAGACCCCTTAAGATATTAAAAAATAATTTTGTTGGCTTTTTGGCTTTTCGAAGGGTATTTTTGTAAATGTGAGCGTGCCAGCAAGGATCAATCAGTCCTTACAGAAATTGTGATTGCCAACCAATTACCAGACGATTGTGTTTTAGTTCTTTCAGCCTCAATAAATAATAATAAAAATTACAGATTTATGGTGCTAACAAATTTTAAATATTTAATAATAAATTTTATCAAAGTTAGAAAAATAGATTGTAAATAAAAAGATTTAAGTATTTGTGCTATTGAGATTTGTCTAGAGAGTTGCTAATTTTAACATCGAAGTGCTCTTCGATCAATAATATGGATGAGTGTATTAACTTAGATTTTGTAGACAGAATTCTCAGATATTCATCTTCATTGTTCAACATCGTTTCCTAAATCTCAAAATATATTTCTTTCAAAACACGTTTGGTTTACAATTTTGCCTACATAGTTTTTTAGTTACTATTAGTCAATCAATATCCTATTGAAATTAATATGGAAAATAAACTAATTACAATTGCTAACAGAGATAGTCGAAAGGAAATTACTATAACATCAATTTCATAAATGTATACGAGATATAATGCCCTACCATTAATATCATCATCAAATCTCTAATATTTGTGTTTATTATACTCTAGAGATTTACAAAAGTATTCCATATGCAATTATACATTCAACATTTCTTAAAATATGAATCTATAGTACGTGGCACAACAAGTTGAATGCAATTTGATGCCCTCATGGGCTAGTTACACAAAATAATTATCGAAACCTATACATATAAAGCCGTCGACTTGTCAAAATAATAACAAAAGAAAAGAGCCATGTATCCTCAAAATATACTCCACACCTTTAACTCAGCGAAATCACCATCACCATATCTTTTCTTGCACACAATTCACTAGGGTGAGCACAAAGCCAGTAGGAAGATCTTAACAAAATATATACATTTTATACAGTCTTTTGAGACAAATGTATATATCATGTCATGTCATGCTCAAAATATATATATATATATATATTTATCTTTTAAAAATCTTGTGCACGATGCAATTTTAAAAACACAACCATTCAATAACTTCAATATAATTCAAGAAATGGTAAATACGATATAGGTAATTCCAAGGTTGGTGTCTATAAATAGGCATATCAAGCACTACCAATCGCCACTTTATCGGTTTCTAATCGGAAAGTACGTGATACATCCTCCTTGCGTGTTTTCGGTCTTTCACTATAGACACTTAGGCCAACTTAACCAATACCAAACTACACTCCCTATCAGGACTTACTAACATATTTATCCCAAAACAATTCAAGATGATCTTATTTCACAAAACAATTCATTTATCAAAAAAATAATTTTCAAATGCAAATTCAAAATCAATGATAACAAGATGAAATGGAATAACAATGCAGCATGTAACAATCCATTCTATAGTTCCATTTTCAATTCTACAACATGATCTTCTATTGTGATCAAAATTTTCACATCTCTTCTCAATGTAATTTCACAATATATGTATATATATCATCCGAGGGACAAACAACAATACCATATTATATGCATTCTCCACATGTTAGTCATCATTTTCAAACTTGGTCCTTTTAAAATAAATCATGAGTTTTTAATCTTATCAATTTAAATCTTAATATTTTGATTTATTTTTAATGTGAACTATTTGCCTATTTTCATGAAGTAAGACCGATGGAAAAAGAATGCTTTAGTCATTAAATTTCAAGGCTATTTATATGGAGCCTTCCTAAATTATTAATAAGTATAATTTTGACCCCCAAAATTATAAATGCGTACAAATTGATCCTCTAAACTATTAAAAAATATCACTTTGATCCCTAAACTATAAAAGCATACAAATAGAATCGTAAACTCTTGGCGTATTTTAATTTGACCTCTTCCGTTGCCGCACCGTGAGTTAAATCAAACTTTTGACATTTTTGATATGAAAATACCTTTCAACACTCTGTATAATGCATTGAGCAACACTTCATCTTAATTTTCCTTATTTTTTTGTTGTATTATTATTATTTTTTTAAAATATTTTTTTTGGAAAAATATATTTACAAAGAATATTTTAAAAACAATAATAATGGATGAATACTTATATTTAAAAAAAAAATTAAAAATAATAATTGAATTGTAAATATATAGAATGCTGAAGGATATTTTTGTCTAAAAATTGTTTAAAAGTTTGGTTTAATTCACAGTCGAGTAATGTAAGAGGTTAAAGTGAAACACGCCAATAGTTTAGAGGGCTTATTTATACGTTTTTATACTTTAGGGGATCAAAATAATATTTCTCAATAGTTTAGAGAGTCCATTTGTACACTTTTATAGTTAAAAGGGTTAAAGTGATACTTCTTGATAGTTTAGGGGATCTCCACATAAATAACCCTAAACTCAAAGTAAGTGTATATAAAATGTCTAAAATATATATTTTTATTGAGTTTAATGACTAAAATACTCATATTTTTATCGATGTTACTTAATGAAAATAGACAAAATAATTTAGATTAGAAATAAATTAAAATTTTAAGGACTAAATTGATAAAATTAAAAACTTAAAGTTTATTTTGTCACGAGAGTTAAAGTTTGAAAGTTTTTTTTTTTTTTTTTTCAAAGAAAAACTATATGTAAGTGAGAGAAGGAAAAAAAAATTATCAATGCATGAGTGATGGTGAGGTATAAATAAAAGACTGTGTGATAGACAAGTGTGCTTATAATGGGTTACAAATGACAGATTGTGTAAAGTGTCACCCCTCACGTGTCAGTACTTTTTTCTCATCCTCCCACGTATATGTAATTTCTCGATTTTTCAATCTATAATTCCCTGATAATATCACAAATTATTAGGGTTATTTTAGTAAACTAATTAAATGCTAATTTTTTAATTTTTTAATTTTTTTAAATTACATTATTTTTCTATTTTTATATATATTTTAAAAAAAAACAAAAAAAAGAGGGAAAAAAAGTGTGTGTGTTTAAACTCTATACACAATAATTAGTTACTGAAAATTTTAAATTTGTGGAAAAATATTTTAAAAAATTAATAAATATATAAAAATACAAAAAATATACTGAATTCTTATATTTTTTTTTATATTTTTGGTATTTAGTGAATTTCTAAAAGATTTTTTTTACAATTTTTTTACTTTTTATATGTATTTATGTTAGGCATGTTTAAAAAATAAAAAAATTACTTAAAATATTAAAAAAATTTAATAAAAACAAAAAAATACGAAACATAAAAAATAAAATTTTCTAAAAAATAATTTTTAAAAAGTAAAAATAAATAAAGTGATTAATTTTTTACTAACTTTTCAAAACAATATTCGATCATGAATGGCGTGAAATTGCCGTTCCGATGAACTTTTTCTACCGTAACAGGGAAGGGCGGGTGACCCGCCCTGAGAGTTAGGTGGGTCCCACTTTCTTAAATGTTACCTTTCCGCATTCTCTCTGCACGCATTTAAAACAACAATCATACATCCCACTAAAAACACCACCACTAATAGCACTAATGTATTAAAAAAGTAAAAAAAAAATAAAAAAATACAACTCCAAAACTAAAACATCATATCATTAATAGCGAGACCCACTGCCACCTAATTAGTGGGAGCACTAATTAGTGCTCCCAAGCATTTTTCCATTTAAAAACCTTCACCTAGTCTTCCACTCCAACGACACCACTCTCACACCTCTCTCTCTCTCTCTCTCTCTGTCTATCTCTGTAATATACACATTCTGAGTCTCTGTTCTCAACAGAAAATAAAGAAGGGTCGGAAAAGAAGACAGGACAAAACTGTCTTCTCTCTCTCTCTCTCTCTCTGTTTCTTCAATTGTCTTTTAATTTTAATTTTTGAACAGAGAAAATAAAGAAATAAAAGTGAAGAACAGAGACAAAAGGGCACTATATTGATTTCAACTTCTTCAGGGTCATTGACCATTTGGATCAATGTTACTGTCTATAACCCTGTTTTTGTGGGTTTTTTGTTCTTCTTCTTCTTCTACTTCTGTTGCAGCCTCTGTTTCTTATGATGACAGAGCCATCACCATTAATGGCCAAAGAAGGATTCTCATTTCTGGTTCCATTCACTACCCTAGAAGCACCCCTGAGGTACCACCCTTCCCAATGCAATTCACATATACTTACAGATATATATATACATATTAAAACGTATAGTTGGTGTTAATGATGCCGTCAAGTTTTTTACGTTTTTAAGGCTTGGTTTGGGAAGTAGGTTGGCTTTTTGGCTTTTTGGTTTTTTTGGCTATTTTAGCCTGGGCTAAAAAGCTTGGTTTGGGAAGGGCTTTTTTTTTTTTTTTTTTTTTGGTCTTCCCTCTCTATTAAACTGTCCAAAACTACTAATCAATTTTTTTCAATCATCAAACTATTCAGAAATTTAGATATAAAATTACAAACATGGGAAAACTCTTGTATATTTGTTTCTTCAGCGTGTTCATGCCCTTGTGGCTTCTGGGTATTACCCATTTTCTCAATTTTTTAAAACTTTTTTTTGCTTTTGTTTTTGAAACTGTTGTTTTTTCTTTTGGAGCAATGCATTGCAATTATTATTATTATTATTATTTTTTGGGTTGGTTGCAGATGTGGCCTGATCTTATAAAGAAGGCTAAAGATGGAGGATTAGACGTTATACAGACCTATGTCTTCTGGAATGGGCATGAGCCTTCTCAAGGACAAGTAATGAAATACCATTCTCTTTTACACTCTTTTACCATTTTTTTTTTCATTTAAAAAAAAAAGAAAAAAGAGTTGAATTGAGAAGCTTAATATTTTGTTCTACAATTATTTTCAGTATAATTTCGCGGGGAGGTATGATCTAGTTCGGTTCATCAAGCTAGTGCAACAAGCAGGCCTTTACGTTCATCTCCGGATTGGCCCTTATGTTTGTGCTGAATGGAATTTTGGGTAAAAAATTCATACATGTTTATATATATATATATATATATATATTTTTGTCCTTTGTAATATGAACATATTGTATGTTAATATATATGTTATATTCAATCATACTCTGTTTTTTGCTCTGTTTTGAAACAGGGGATTTCCGGTTTGGCTGAAATATGTTCAAGGCATTTCTTTCAGAACAGACAATGAGCCTTTCAAGGTTTGTTAATAAAAGTCCCTTTCTTTTATTTTTTTTAGCTTTCAAATTGGTTTGTTTATTCATTAATTTACTGGGTTTTGAATTTTCATTTGAGTGCATTAAAGGCGGCAATGCAAAAATTTACCAAGAAAATTGTTGACGTTATGAAGTCAGAAAAATTGTTTCAAACTCAAGGAGGTCCAATTATAATGTGTCAGGTTTGAAAATTACCTCATTCTAGTGTTTGCTCTGTTATTGTTTTATTGATTCTGATTTGAATTGCAACTGATAGATAGAGAACGAATATGGACCGGTAGAGTGGGAAATTGGGGCTCCCGGTAAGGCTTACACAAAATGGATGGCGCAAATGGCTGTCAGTCTCGGCACCGGTGTCCCATGGATTATGTGCAAACAAGAGGATGCTCCTGATCCAATCGTAAGTGGTTCCTTTTTTTTTTTTAATTAAAAAAGAAGAAGAAGAAGAAGATATGTGCACAGAAACTAATCCTCTTTTGAGTGCTCAATGACCGGTTTCTATGCACATAGAAGTTTTTTTTTTTTTTTTCTTCTCCCAACGATTTCTTTTCACCACCTGTCATTTTCCTTCCGTTGGTGGGGTTGTTGAACATTGCCTTCTCCACTTGGGGTGACCTTGAATGGCATAGTTATGACACAATTCAGTTATGAACGTATTAAGGGTCCCATTTATTTGTTAGTACTTATTTTTCTTTCATTTTCTCTAGGTTTAGGGCTTGGAAAAATATAAATCATTAAGATTGACTTTTTCTTTCTTGATAAGCATATTGTTGGCTCCATCTACTACCCACATGGTAAAGAGCCCACCATCCACATAGTGTGGGTGGCACTAGGTGGTCAAAGAAGGTGGTGGAGGGCAACACTAACTCACTAATGGAAGATAGTGGGGGTGGCACCACCTTGGCCAATTATGGCTAGCACTTCACCTACTCCTCCTCTCTTGGTTATAAATTGAGATGAGTGATGAGGGGTTTGTATCATCAGAAATTAGAGAGTAAAGAGCTGTGAGTTGAGTGAGTTTCATCTCCTCCTCTGTATTTTGTATTTTGCTCCATTTTAGTGAAAATTCTCATTTCTGTCCGTGGATGTAGGCATTGGGCCGAACCACGTAAATATTGTGTTCTCTGTGTGTGTGAGATATTTTTCTGGGTGTGTTTGATCCTAACACATATTTGGGTTGAACTGTCAAATAACTAAGTTATATAGTTTAATAAATAGAATCTGTCTCTCTCAAACAGTCTATTTTATTTATCATTTTACAGATAGATACTTGCAATGGTTTTTACTGCGAAAACTTCAAACCAAACAAAAGTTCCAAACCCAAAATGTGGACTGAAGCCTGGACTGGTGGGTAAGTCGCACTATTAATACCCATATAACCCAAAAAAATTATGTTTTATTTTTTGGGTTTTATTTGTTGTTGTAAGTTTAGATTGTTTGGTTGACTCAGATATCACAACTCTTATAATTTTGTCTGAATCCTTTCTTACTTCGATTCTTCTAATTCCACTGTTTTTTTCCTCAGGGGTACAGTATTTGGTGCTTCAGTTTCTCGTAGACCTGTTGAAGACTTGGCATTTTCAGTTGCTAGGTTTATACAAAATAATGGTTCATTCGTTAATTATTATATGGTAAGTCAATTTCCGAATTATATTCTTGAGAGAAATAATTCAGCCCATGTATGATGATCTTTTTCTGTGTCAGTACCATGGCGGGACAAATTTTGGGCGAACAACTGCTGGTCTCTTCATTGCCCCTAGCTATGATTTTGACGCTCCGATTGATGAATATGGTATGATATAGGGAAACAAAAATTGTTTGTACATACAAGAGTTTTATTTGTACAAAACACACTTGCACACGCACATACACACATGTTGTGAGATCATCAATAAGATTATCAAACTTGTATATATGATACGACATTTCTGGTGAAAATTCTAATCTTTTCCCCTTGGTTATGATGATTTGGAAGGATTACTTAGAGAACCAAAATGGGGGCATTTGAGAAATTTGCATAAAGCCATCAAGCAATGTGAACCAGCTTTAGTTTCCTCTTATCCCACAGTGACTTGGCCGGGCAATAATCTAGAGGTAGATTAACCGAAAGCTATGCATATACTGTGATTTTTGACATTTGCTGCTTTTTTGACTATTGCACCCGGCCTTTTTTGTGTCATTTTTCATTTCTAGGTTCACGTATTCAACTCAAAGTCTGCTTGTGCTGCATTCCTTGCCAACTATGACACCAAATCTCCGGCAAAAGTGGCCTTTCAGAATACACGATACGACCTGCCTCCTTGGTCCATCAGCATTCTCCTCGATTGCAAAATTGAAATTTTTAACACTGCGAAGGTAGAGAAATACACTCTTCCCTCTCAAAAACCATCCTCCATTTATTTCCAAAAATTTTCCCGTCTTTTAACAATTATTTCATGCAATTTTTAATGACATGCAAAGATAATTTTATGAATATAGAAGTATCAGAAGATGTAAAGCGTGTTATATTTGACATTAATTTTGAGAAAATTAAGGTTTCGTCTTTCTTCTATGGATAATTCTTAGTTTGTTATATTGTTTTTATGAATATCAAAGTATTAGAAGATGTAAAGTGTGTTATAGTTTGATTTTTATTTTGAGAAAATTAAGGTTTAGTTTTTCTTATATGAAATTTCTCATTCAAAAGGTTCCCAAAATGGGCTTTAACATTCGATCAAAATTGTTTTCAGATTAGCTCCGAAAGTTCACAGATGAAGATGACACCGGTGAATGGTGGAGTATTCTCTTGGCAGTCCTCCAATGAACAAACTGTCTCTGCCGATGATTCAGACACCATTGCAAGGGATGGGCTGTGGGATCAAATCAGCCTCACAAGAGATGCATCGGACTATCTTTGGTACCTAACAAAGTGAGTATTGTTTAATTTGTTTTAGTATGCACTTCATTATCTCTTCCCTTATCGAAGCATAAATTTTATCACAATAATAATAATAATAATAATAATAATAATAATAATAATAAATTGATTCATCATAGTCTAGTTTGAAACTTGAATATGATTTTCTTGTTTCATGTACTTTCTTGCTCGTGTCAGTGTGAATATACAACCAGGCGAAGCATTTTTAAAGAACAGGCAGTCTCCTACTCTGACCATTATGTCAGCAGGTCACACTTTGCACATTTTCATCAATGGGCAACTATCAGGTAAATGGACTTGTTCTGTAATTTCAATATATAATGGTGAAGTATTTTATTGAAATGAGCTTTAATTTGTCTCTTGATTTTGTAATACATGTTTATGGCAGGAACCACGTATGGATCGCTACAGAATCCAAAACTGACATATAGTGGCAACGTGAAGTTGAGAGCGGGAATTAACAAGATTTCTTTACTAAGCGTTGCTGTTGGCCTTCCGGTTAGTTCTTGTCTTAGTGACAAAATTTTACCTTCTTTGGATGTTAATGACAGTAATGGAGTCTTTTTAATGTCATACTGGATCGATTTCAGAATGTCGGTCTGCATTTTGAGACATGGAACACGGGGGTTCTTGGCCCAGTCACATTGAAGGGCCTCAATGAGGGGACAAGAGACTTGACAAATCAAAAGTGGTCTTACAAGGTTTGTTTTCTTGAATGTCGGTCTGTTTCCAAATTTATTGTGTGAATTTCAAGACGGTGAACTTCTGAGGCAATGATGAAACTTGAAAATCATAATTTAATACAGGGATACTGGGATGAAAAATAAAGCATGATATGGGAAAAGAAGCGTGTATAGTACATAAATAAGCAGTGAAAATTAAGATTGATGTTTCTATGCAGGTTGGTCTAAAAGGCGAGAGCTTGAAACTGCACACACTCGATGGAAGTTCCTCTGTCGAATGGGTTGAGGGATCATCATTAGCTACAAAACGACCCTTGACATGGTACAAGGTAATAATCATCCCAATCCCTACAGTATTTCATTTTTATTGCTCATTTATGAGTTCCATATACGTGCAAATGAGCCAAATTCACTTTTAATTCACCTAATGATCTTTCCAGACTACGTTCAACACACCAGCAGGAAATGATCCGTTAGCTTTGGATATGAGTACCATGGGAAAAGGTGAAATATGGGTAAATGGTCAAAGTATCGGGCGCCACTGGCCTGGATACAAAGCACGTGGTAACTGTGGCGGCTGTAGCTATGCTGGAATTTTTAATGAGAAGAAATGCAGAACAAATTGTGGTGAAGCCTCTCAGAGATGGTGAGAAAAATTATCGGTTACTCTGATTTTATATTTTTTTTCTGCATATTTTAATAAATGTGATGAGGCTGTTTATTTCAGGTACCATGTGCCACGCTTATGGCTGAAACCGAGTGGGAATTCGTTAGTTGTATTTGAAGAATGGGGCGGCGATCCAACTGGGATTTCATTGGTTAAAAGAACAGCTCAATGAGGATGATTCATCCTCACTGCATAAAATTTTGTTCGAGTTGTACTTTTTGCTTGATCCAAGCTTTGCACGTCCAAGGTTGTCGAGGAAACTGATTTGGTTAGGTTGGAGGTTCAACTGTACAATCATATTACATACAAACCATTTCTTGGACCATAGAATCTAAAGGTGATTAGCAAATAAGGTTTCAGTGTGTATGCTTTTTTTTTGGTTCTTTTTTCATTTTTATTTTTATATTTAAAAAAACCATATATTTTATTTTGACCGCAAATCAATTTTCTAAAATTATATATATAAAGAAAATCTATGAAGGTTTTATGAGGGGTGCCCAAACATAGGACACACGTGTTCTTGAAATATCCCCATGTCTTGTAACAAAATGATAATTAAAAAAATTAACACGCAACATAACATATCAGACACATGGACAAGTGTGTTTGTGGGGCGTGTTTGTGTCCAATACACAGCACCCATTTTGAAGTGTCTGTGGTTCCTTCTGCTAAAATAAAAATGTGTATGTGCTTCCTTGTTTCCCACACTCGATGTAAGTTACAACGTACTGTGGAGTAAGGAGACCACCGATTTGACAACTTCAACATCAATATAAAGATGTGCTCACTGAATTGCAATCACTGATGATTATAAACAGTTCACCAATATTGTTTTATAAAAGAGTTACAACAAGAATTTGAGAATATTTCACACATTTACAGATACAAATAAAAATATGATAATCATTTCTTACAGACAAAATTACAAAACTGCCTTTAATTAACAAAGAGGCATTTCTAACTATACAAGATCTCAGAAAGAAGATAATTTATGACTCAAGGCATCAATGGCATCACTCAGATCCTTCGAATTCTGAAATACATCTTGTCCTTGAATCCTCCATCGCGCTAGTCTACTGCGAAGATCACTTAGCATCAGAAATCCATCATCCTCATCAATTTTGATGTCAAGTAGCTTCTTCATACAATTAAGCAAGTATTTGCCAGACCTTAGTTTCACCCGGCAAATAAAATCTATCCCTCTCCCTTCAGTGTCAAACAAAGAAGCCGACATACTCTCAACAACATCAGTTAAGTGGAAGACAAGGCGAGTTCCTGCTACAGCCTCCTTTTTACTACATTTTTCAAACCACGCAGTTGACTCTTCTTGTCCTTGAGAGTTCCATTTTCTATTCTTCAATCCTGCAATCTGATTTTCCGTCAAATGAAGTAAAGTACCAGTTGCAGCATAATGCAGCAGCAATTGACAACCATCTTCATTTATTCCATGGGAGCACCCAATCAAAATGCCCAATGGAATTTTCCAAAATAACATGTTTTTCTGAGGGCTAATCCCATGGGACGCTTTTGCTTCATGGGCTGCAGAACTATTGACAGTTTTATTCCAATAGTTTATGTACATATCTTGAAATTTCCCAAGCCATAGTTGGATAGTTTTGCAATCATATTCCTGTAAGAGAGCATAATCAACCTTGCTGTCTTGGAATTTGGATATCTTGAGTTTCTTCCTATAGCTAGCTGTTTCTTTGCAATATTTGTCTGTGCATTTCTTGAGAACCCATGACTCAGATATTTTACCCAAACATTCAACAAGTAGTTCCTGATGAGATTCGCTGATTGGATTCAGAATCCATGCAATGTAACTTGCAGCAGCAGTGGACCAGGGAAGTTCGACATCATGTGATTGTTCAGTTTCAGTGGTCTCTACTGTGCCTTTTGAATGGAAATTATCTTCGAGGCCTTTTCCAGCGAAGAGTGACATTGAGGCAAAAAAGAACCAATTTGGGAAGTTCATCGCCATAGCCCTGTTATGCAATAGTAGTATGTAGAAACATGAACTTCTAAAAAATATATATATATATGTATTAAATTTTTTACCAGCAAATGTAGAATCACTTTAACGTCACGACAATAATTGTTTTGATGAGAAATGAAAACGTACCACCGAGATTTGTAATCCATCATTCCAATCTTTCTTGCATCCTGCTTAAAAGTTGGATCAGACTGTCTTCTAGCATGAGAAGCTGATTTGCTTGTACTATGAAGTAAATATATAAAGTTTTGGTATGATAAAGGTCCATCCAAAGTCCTTAATAAGTGATGCTTGTGAGGGAAATATGCATGAGAAAAGGGTAGCTTCAGTGCAACTTCCATCGTTATGCCCCACCACATCGGTTTTGAAACTACATCAAGTATCATCGACACCAATTCAATTTGAAGCTCTAACACATAAGCCAAACCCCTGTTATATGTAACCAAGCCTAGCAAGTTTAATAGTGGATAAGATATATTTTCTTTATTGATATTAATTTAATATTATATTATCGAATGAAAAAGTGACACATTATTACATTCTTTCTGACAAGGGTTTTTTCTTTTGCCAATGATGTCATCTACTGAAAATGACCTAAATTTCAGAACCTATTCCTTTTTTAATATATCTTACCATTTATCCCATCAATAGCTCATTATGGAACCTCAATCTGTGACACATATGATGCCTTTAAATCTATCATCTAATTATTTGCAGCAAAACCTTGGTACTAACATATTATACTAATGCAAAAATGACAGCACACACCTAGAGTTTAAGTATTATGCAATTCAATTCAATGAAGAGATCATATAAACTTTTATAATGTAAAACATAATAAGCCAGTAAATAAATATAGCTGATTGATTTCTGAAATTACACAACCCCTGTATAAATTAGTCAACGAGGCACAAGTTTGAGAAAAGTAGAAAAGATGGTTAAGTTGTAGAAAGAAGCTATTATATCAGAAAAGCTACACGTGACACAACCTAAAGTTTAGAGTCAATTGCAAGCTAGAGTTGCAAACTTGGTAGGATCTATAAAACTGAAGCAAAAATGGGCAAGAAATCAGATTTAGTCTCTCTGATTTTAAAAATTTAAGTTGAAGTTATTACAAATTAGTTGAACGCATTGACAATTTTACAAGGATTTAAGACAGTTCTCACAAAGAGATGCATACTGCTGCTGCATTTCTCTCAACACAAACTTATAAGTGACAGCTAATGTTCGACACATAAGCAAACAAAACAGGCAAAAAGAGGATTTCTTTGCCCAACCTTTTGGAACTTATCATGTAGTCACTAGAAGTATCATCAAAGTTTTACACAGGTGAACACTAGTTACAGTCATAACATATGATAAATTTATAGTTCCTTAAAGCATGGTAAAAGGTAATATCAATAAGAATGTAAAAAAGTTTAGCAACTTACGTCATCAGAAACCAGTTATGCAATAGGGCTCTGGTCTCAACAAACATAGCAGGAGAAAGTGCCAAGCATATGATTATGGAACGCCAATCCATCCTCTCATGAAATGCAATACTCAAACAAAGGAAAGGTCTACCACTAGAAGCTTGCAATATATGTGACACGTCATTCTTCAGAATTAGGGGATCAAGGTACCACAATAGCAACCTGCAAGGATTGAGTTTTTTATTTTGTAAAAGAGTAAGGATGAAGAGGGGGCAGATGACGAAAGTAAAACACAAATTTATTATGCCCATTGAGGTGATTCATGAACTTGAGCACCCAATGAGACAAGATTCCAAACTTCGTTCACTTTACTACAACAGAGGACTACAAAGGGGAGAGAGCAAGCGAGAGAGAGAGAGAGAGAGAGAGAGAGAGAGAGAGCTCAGTGTAATGCATTCACAAAGTTTTCACTAACAGAAGCTTTAGGTTGAGTTTGGATCTAGGATTTGAGGGGAGATTTGTGGAGGAAAAGGGAAAAGAAAGGGAAAAGTGAGAAAAAATAATAATAATAGCTTCATTTTCTTTTATTTTTCCCTTCCTTTGTCCTTTCTCTCCATGAATCCCTTGTCAAATCCTTGACCCAAACACAACCTTAAGTTAAGCATTTCATCGTCCATTACAGATACAATGCTTTCATATATTTTGTTAGAAAAGGGAAGGCATAATCTTTCTTTGATTCTAACTTAACTCATTAGGGGACACAAGATGTACAATTTGAGGTGAGTGTTCATCAAAAAAGAATATCCAACAGTAAGACAACTGGCTCCAAACAATGTCAGCAAAAATGTGAAGCAACACCAGACAACAACTTTCATGTCATGTGCCCTTATTTGGGGAAGCAGCCATGATCAACATCACTATGTGTACATTTGAACAACTCAAAGAATTTAAAATGGAAACAAGTGAGATTAAACAGATGCATTCTTGTAGGTTGATCAATAGAAAGCACAGCACTCCTATATATATATATATATTGTGATTCTAACTGAAACATGTGTTCAAAAAAAAAAAAAACCTGAAACATGTAATCAGGAACATTTTATGCATATAACATACAACATTACAATTGGCTTTTAAGGCAAAAAGCATGTCTGGAAGGTTGATCTAATGCAATCAAAACAGCAGGTTCATAAGCTAACAACTACTTGCTACCACCAATCAATAGAAGAAAGCAGCACACCTTAACGGTATCTCTTGGTTTTTAAGGGAGATGTCCCTTGGTAAATGGCAAAGCAGTTTCGAAATACTACCTCCCTCTACTGTTTTGACATCAAGAATAGGTGTTATTTCTAATCCAAACCGAAAGCAAGATGCTGATACCGCGACTCTTATAACAGCGTACAACAAAGAATGGGACAGTATCCCTGCATCATTAGAAATCACATTCAAAAAAGCTCAGATCAACAAAATCCTCCTCATAAGCCAAAACAAATTTAAAAACCAAATACCTAAAGTTCCATCTCAAACCAATATTATGCACAAAAAATTCAGGTAAAATAGCACCCATGTTTGAATTAAAGAAAATTCTTATCAAGTCAATCCCATATACCTGATTTTTATAATTGAGTACTAAAAATCAAACAATAGTCTTTAAAGCAATAGTTTGGTAACAGAGAATTCACATACAAAATTAACTTTTACCAATCAACATAATTTACAGTATCTAACAGATTTACACAAGTAATAAAAATGAAAATTGGAAATATAACTCAAACCTACCATGTCCCTCCAATTTCCCCAAAAAATCAACGCACATTCCGATCAATTCTGCACAATCACCGCTTGAAATTCCGCTACCAACGCACAAAAACTCTGCTTTATGAAACCTCAATGCCTTGCAAGTAATCGACGAAGACAGAACAGTAACAATGGTCTTCACCAGATATTCAATCGCCGAATCAAATACCTAAAAAACCCACACACTCAAGAAATCAAAACTAGTAAGACCCTAGATGGTTCGCAGTGTAAGCTATGAGTGAGGGCTGACCTGTGGAGCTTTGAAACACATCAAAGAGAGTGCAGTGTCCAAAACCCTAACCCTAGAACTGTCCTCCAAGTTGAGAGATCGATTGAGCTTCGAGATCGAGAGATCAAGGGTTTCGTGTCGATGATCTTCATTTGGGACCGTTGGGTTTAGGGTTTGGAGGTTCGTTGCGAGTCGCGCGAAGAGATCAGTTATTTCTGTTACTCTGTTCATTTGTGGGAGAGAATCGAACGGCGGCAGAGAACCGCACGACGATGAGAACTCAACTGGTTCCCGCCAAAATGTGGTATTTGTGCTGGTAATGGGCCTCTTGAGCCCATCGCAATTAGTAGCTTTACGTGGGTGGGCCAGTCCAATGGACTAAAAGTGGTGCTCTAAAGCACCACTAATGAGTTGGCAAGCACTTTAACTAAAAAAAAAAAAAAAAAGACACAAGCATTTTAGAGCATCACTTTTAGTAGTCTCAAGCATTATCGATAATAATAATTAGAGCACCACTTTTAGTGGTCTCAAGCATTATTGTATATATATATATATATATCTGTTTATCCCATATAAAAAATTCAAAATCTATCTAATCTCAAAATAAAACACTTGTACCAATTAGTCCTATATATTTTTAATTGTTATCAACAAATTTTTTTTTTTTTAAATTTTTTTCTACAGACATTACATTTCATTACCGTCGGACTTCTGTCAGACGGTCACTGGAGACTCGCTGGAATGTTCAACATCACCGAGAAGTCGCCGAAGTATCGCCGGGAAGTCGCTAGAGTGTTATGAACGTCAATGGAAGTCTCTGGAATGTACAGAACGTTCGCTAGACGTTAAAAATATCATTGAAAACTCACCGAAATATTCATAATATTGCCGGGGAAAAAAAAAGGAATAAATGGAGAAATTAGAACTAAAAAACATAGCAAAATGTGCTAAATATTGATAAACTAAAAGGAAAAAAAATATAACGACAAAAAACAGTAATAATGGAAAAAACATATGTTATTTTTCAATTTTTGCAAGGTTTAAGCAAATAATCTCTAATATTGATCAAACTGAAAAGTAAGCTTTGAAACTATAATATGTTAAAGGTTTAAAGCAAAAATCTATTAAGCACTTATTCTGATTAATCAAATTGGAAAATATGTTATGAAATTACAAAATTTTGCAGTTTTAAACAATGATTCATTTCAGCACAAAAAAAAATTGAAACTATAAAATTTTACAGTTTTCATCGCCTGTAACTAAAACTCGAAAACAACTTGTTCAGAATTTGAAATTTTCCTCGATTAAAATAGAAAAATAAAAGTGTATAGCAAAAAAAATGTAGACAAATTAAGAGATCGAAGGAAAGAGGCAAATATAGAGAGAGGATTGTACTCCGGCAACTATTTTTTATTTAGATCTAGCCGGATCTGATGTAGATATACTTAGATCTAACTAGATCTACACATTTTCTTCGTCGGAAACACATCTTCTTCACCGTTGATGAGGGTGTAAGGAGTCGGCGGTTCGGTGGTTGCCGGTGAATGTAGTAGTCGTCGGTCACCGGTGACTATATATCAGAAAGAGAAAAAGAAAAAGCAAGATGTGGTTGCCCGTCGACGATCACCAAAAATCACAAAAAGCAAAAAAGACAGAGAAAAAGAAAGGCAGAGAAGAAGAAAATCATCATAGGACTTTTGAGTATAAATAAAAGGTTATGGGACTAAATAGGATCCACGTTTTTCAAAGAAGACTTCTTGGTAATTTGCCATATATATTTTGGGGCTCTGACCCAAAGGTTCTATTTCAATAATTTAAAATGCATCTAATCCCAAAACAAATTACTTGTACCAATTAGTTCTATATATTTTTAATTATTATAAAAAAATATTTTTTAATTTAAAGACACTGTCATATCCCACCACTATCAGACTTTCATCTGATACTGGAGACTCATCATAATGTTCAACAGCGTTGGAAAATGGTTAGAGTATCGCCGGAGTGCTCTGAATGTTACTGAAAGTTGCCAAAATATCTAGCACATCGTTGGCCGTCAAAAATATTGCCGGAAACTCACCAGAATGTCCAGAACATCACCTAAAAAAAAAAGAAAAAAAAAGAAGGAATGGTGAAATTATTGTGAAAACATAATAAAATTTAACCATATCCTCTCCAACATCACAAAATATGAAAAAAAAAAAAAAACTCTTTATCATACAAAGCACATAATTTTCAGTTCACAAAATTGTAAAAATTTAGAGTTTAAATTTATTGCTCTTCAAACTGCATAAATTTGCAGTTTTGTTGCAAAAATTATGAATTAGCAGTTTGGAAATTGCAAAAATTATCAGTTTACTCGTTTATTATTTATCAAAACACAATTTCATATCGCTATGATGGTGGAGATCTTAGATCAATTGTTTGTAAGAGTTTGTATTTCATTTTGTTAATATTTGCTAATTTTTTTGTTGTTTTAATAAAGAGAAAAAAAAAATGCTAGTCATATAGAAAAGCATAACCGTATCTTCAAAATTGTAAAATTTTATAGTTTTCATCACTTATAACTAAAACTCAAAAAATATTTTCAGAACTTGAAATTTTTTTCTAATAAAAAATAAAAGAAGTATGTAACAGAGAAACAGAAAAAAAAAATTGAGAGATTGAATAAGAGAGATAGATATAGAAAGAGGATTATACTCCGACAACCATTTTTGGTTTAGATTTGACTGGATCTGATGTAGATTTACTTATATCTACTCTAAATTTGAACATTTTGGTGCGTTGTCATGTGATCTTGGCCAAATCTGAGTAGATCTATGTCAAGAACATTGTTGTAAACTTATCTCTTTCGTCGTCAATAAGGGTGAAGTAAGGAATCGGTGTCGGTGGTTGTCGGTGAACCCAAATTGATGGTGGTCATGGGTCACCGGTGAGTGTGTATTAGAAAGAGAAACAGAAGAAGGAAAGAAGTGCCTGAGGACTTTTGAGTTTACATAAAAGATTGTGGGACTAAATAGAGTTCTCCTCTTTCAAAGAGGACATGCGGGTAATTTGCTCCTTTTTTTTTTTGGGTTAACTATTCACATGTCCTGTTATGAGCACCTGTGCACTATTAAGTCCCATAAATATTTGTGTAGATCGAAAATTCCATTTGCATATAAAAAGATTCATTCATTCTTCTTTTTCTCTTTTTCATATGCAAACTGATTGGCAACCACTAACCACCATCGATTGCGATTTAGCAACCACCAATAGCTTGCAACAGTTGCTTCTCTGCCTCACCGGCTTTGCTCTCACCTCCTCCAATTCGACAATCTAAACATTTTAGCGACTTCAGTGACGTTTAGAATATTCTAGTGATTCTCCAATTACTTTTCGGTGATATTTTGAACTTTCCAGCGAGTCTTCAATGACTATCTGGTAGAAGTTCAACGATGATTCGACAGTGGTGGATGTGATAGCGACATTGACAATGGAATATAAGGGTATTTTGGTCTTTAAATTTAAATAAAATAAAAATAGAATATTTTGATAACAAATAAAGTGAATTGTACTTTTTGATGCACCAAAAAGTCGCGAGGGCTTATTGGTGTACCTATCTCCCTAACATGATTTTTTAGTTAGTTCTATTTTTTTTAAGGGTAAAAATTTTAGGATTAAATACAGTTTTGATCCTTAATGTTGTATTTGGAGTATAAATTTAGTTAGGAATTTAGAAAGGTTTGAAAATGGAAAGAGAAAAGGAAAATGTGTATGAAATGTAATTTTATTTAATTCATATTTCATTTATATTTTCTCTTTCCAAATTCCTACCTAAAATCTATGATTCAAACACAACGTAAGAGTATGCACTTTTTGTTATTTTGGTCTCCAATCTTTTAATTGTCACAAAATCATACAAAAAATAGGATAAATTATACTTTGCACCAAATCTCAATATAGTTTTTTCTTTGTGACAATCAACTCCTTATGATTCTAGTAAAGTCAATGTCCTTTTTTTTATTACTCTACCGTATAAGTCTTTAACAAAGGTCAGTAATGTGACAAGTATATGACTATGAAATGAAGGCAAAGAAAAAAAATCACTCCTGTTTCTCGCCTATACACATTTCATCCTAAAAATTTTATCAAATTATGACCGTGTTCGGCTCAAATAAAAAGAAGATTGTGAACGATTAAGGAGATGAATTAGGATTTTGTGCAAATTGAAATCACGAAGCTTTGCTTTTTCACAATAATATAGTCTTCTATATATTCATCTTCCTTTCTCTTCAATCTCTCTATTGCTTTTTTTTATTATTATTATTTCAAAAAGCTTTGTTTTCTTGCTACTTCATCCCAATTTTCAACATATGAATATATATATATCGCATTATATAACTCTTACACACTTATCACGTGGACAGAATGTGTATTGATGGGAAATCAAGATGATTTTCCTCTCTTGTTCTCATTTTGTAGTCACATGTTTGTTACATGATTGGATTCTGTTAAAGACTTAAACAAATGGAGTAATAGAATGGGGATATTAACACTTGACCAGACGTGCAGAGGGATTGACTGCCATGATTTCATGTATATAGACTAAAATAGAATTTGGTGCAAAATATAGGGGTGTAAAGTATAATTTACCCAAAATAATGAATGATGTATATGATTTAAAAAATAAATTACCTATTTTTTTTTTTTTAAAGATCTTGTGAGCCCTACATAACAAACGGTGTATATTATTAAGGTGGACTCGAAATGAAGCCACATAATGCAAATTGGATTGTCTAGTCCATGAGACAACCCATGCCATATATAATACACAATATAGGTTAAAATTTCAAGTGAAATGTCATCAATCTCAAGCAATATATATGGAAAAATGGTTCATTTACAGAATTCCCCCCCCCACAATTTTTCTAATAACGTGGCAAGCAAAATTTAAAAGTTGACCAATATTTCTTCAAAACTCTCTTTACATGCATTTTATCGCCACCTCATTAAGGTCATGTTTGTTTGGACGAATTGGATAAGGATGGACTATTAATCTTGGAATACATAGTCCTTGGACTATTTGGTTGAAAAGGATGTGAATCCTATATTTGTTTGGTAACAATTGATGATAATGTGAGAGAGAGAGAGAGAGAGAGAGAGAGAGATGAATAGATAAAAAGATGAGAAAGAAAAGAGAGATAAAGTGGGTGATGAGATAATCTATGAATGACGGAATAAGTACACTTTACTCAATTTATAAAGTGAAAGAAATTTGGAGACCAAAGAAAAATTAGAAAAAACGCAAAACAAAATGAAAATAAT